TCAGANTGACGTAAAGTACCTACGAAGATCAGGTGAGTAACAACGATATCCCTTTTGAACACGAGAATAACCAAGGAAGACACACTTGAGAGCATGAGGAGCTAACTTATCTTTCCCAGGGGCTAAGTTATGAACGAAACAAGTGCTCCTAAAAACACGTGGGGAATAGAGTATAAGGGTGACTAGGGAAACAATACTGCATATGGAATCTGATTCTGGATGGGAGAGGAAGGCATCCGATTAACCAAATAACAAACTGTGAGAACTGCATCGCCCCAAAAACGCAACGGAACATGAGATTCAATGAGAAGTATGCGAGCAGTCTCAATGATGTGCCTATTCTTTCTCTCTGCAACCCCATTTTGTTGAGGGGTATAAGGACAAGAGGTCTGATGAATAATTCCTTGAGAAGTCATAAACTGCTGAAATTGAGAGGATAAATATTCTAAGGCATTATCACTGCGAAAAGTGCGAATAGAAACACCAAATTGATTTTTAATTTCAGCACAAAAATTCTGGAATATAGAAAACAACTCAGAACGATCTTTCATTAAGAAAATCATAGTACATCTTAAATGATCATCAATGAAACTAACAAAATAACGAAATCCCAAGGTTGAACTGACTCTACTAGGACCCCATATATCATAATGAACTAAAGAAAAAACAGACTTTGCATGACTCTCAATACTACGAGGAAAAGAGGCTCGGGTATGTTTCCCGAGCTGACATGACTCACACTCTAATGTAGATAAACTAGACAAACTAGGCACCATCTTCTGAAGCTTGGATAAGCTTGGATGCCCTAAACGTTGTGAATTAGGTCCGGAGGATCTGTAACTAGACATGCCTCGGAAGAATTGAGTGAGTTAAGGTAGTAAAGGCCTTCTGATTCAAGTCCTGTTCCAATCGTCTGGCCCGTACTGCGGTCCTGCATAATAAAAGAATCATCAATATAATATATACCACAATGGAGGGCACGAGTCAAACGACTAACAGATGCAAGATTAAAAGGACAACCAGGGACATAAAGAACGGAATCTAGAGTGACAGAGGGTAGGGGATTCGCTTGTCCAACTCCTTTTGCTTTAGTTTGAGACCCATTGGCTAAAGTAACAATGTGAAGAGACTATATATACGCAATATTTGACAAAAGTGATTTATTACCTGAGATATGATCAGAAGCTGCTGAGTCCACAACCCACTGTCCAAGAGTACTAGACTGGGAAACACATGCAAAAGAATTACCAGCACCAGAAGTATCAGTCTGAGCAATAAAGGCTACTTATGGAGATGTCTGCTTACTTGCTCGATACTGAAGGAACTCATTATACTCCCCTTCAGATAAAGAAAATCCCTGGTTACCTGTAGTTTCGGTCTGAGCAACATAAGCATTTTTGGGTGGACGACCATGTAAAGAATAGCACACGTCACGAGTGTGTCCAAGTTTATGACAATAAGAGCACTTGGGTCTAGATCTTCCAAAATGACTTCCTCCTCGCCTATTCTCCATAGTTTGAGATGTCTGATTGTGTCTATGAGTCAAATGTCTATGATGACTGGGATACGAGGACAGATGAGTCAAGTGTCTATGATGAGCTCACTGGGTGACTTGGTGCTGCAGCAAGGCGAAGTAATCTAGAGAATAATTCATCAACTGTGGGGACAGTCGGACTAGCCAAAATCTGGTCATGTACTGAATCAAGGTCATTAGGGAGTCAGCGAGTGTAAGAACTAGAAACATCTTCTGTCGTTGCTCTTGTTGCTTTTCAATACTAGCAGAAACTGGCATCAACGTCTCAAATTCTTCCATGACTGCCTGTACTTGTCCCAAGTAAGTAGACATATCCAATTCCTTTTTCTTCAAGCTTGTCATTCGCGATATTACATCATAGAAACGAGATATGTCATTAGTGTATAAATTACGAGCCTTTTCCTAAACTAAATAACATGTCTGGAATGGACGGAACAAGGGCATCAACTTGGAATCAATAGATCGCCACAGGATACTACATAACTGAGCATCGACCTTCTCCCAAAGTGTTTTGGCCTTTTCAGCACCTTCGCTGGCCTTTTTTGTTAAATGATCTTGAACTCCTTGACCTTTACACCACAACTCGACAGACGAAGCCCAAGCTAATTAGTTTGAACTTCCCATTAAAGGTTCTGAGGTAATCATAACACCGGAACTGCCAGAACCTGGGTTTTTAGACCCGAAAGCATCGACTCCCAAAGACATCGTTGGATTGAAGTGAGGTCTATAAAATTATCACCAAATAACAGAAAGAATCAATTGAAAACTCGCTGAAACAGATGAAGGAGACACTGTTTTTGCCGGCTGCCGAAAAAAATAAGTGTAGTCGCCGGAAAATCTCAAAGTGGTCAGAATTTGGTTTGAACTAGATGGGTAGGCTCGGAATTATGAGGAGAGCAAGCTGTCCTGAAGAATATTTTTCAAAATCTGACCGGAAGACGCGCCACGGGAAGCAGATCTCCGACAGGCGCGTGGGTGAGTATTTTCCGGTGAATTTTTCTGGGGTTTGGTCAGATATCTCTTGGGAACCTTGTGGTAGTGTTGGATTTTGCACAACACTGATAATTAGTGACTTTGACGCAATCAGTCGCTTAGGTCACCGGAAAATTGCACGATGACCGAGTTCTTTCTTCCCGGATGTCGCTGGAATGACGCACAACGATCTCTTCTCACTGATGCTCTGATACCATGTGAGAAAGCACGGGAGAAAATATTATTGTTATTATTCTCATATGTTAAACATGATACGATGAGCCCTATATATATATACATAACATGTCCTACTCCTAATACATATGGGATTAGGGTTATTTACTCCTATTTACATAACTATTCTAACAACACTAATAGATTAAAGATTGACAAGGAACTCAGGGACATGGAGCATGAATGATAGTTTAATATTAGGAGTATAAAGACAAATAAAAGAACCCTCAGGGGTTGGCCTGGTGGCAATTGACTTGAGCCTTGAGGTTTGCTCCCTTTCAAGGTCTCAAGTTCGAAACCCACTGGGTGCAAACAATTTCTGAGGGCCATCGGACTGGGTAAAACCTGAATTAACCGTGGTGCACTTGCGGGAAACTCCTTGCCGAGGGCCTGTGCACCCCCGGGATTAGTCGGGGCTCAAAGAGACTCGGACACCCGGTGCAAA